AATCAATAGATCCAATAAACAGTTGGTACCGTCACACTGCATAGCAAGAATCTACCTCAAAAAAAAAAAAAAAAAAAAAAAAGGAGGGGAGGGAATATTTACAAGTTTCTTCTTTAGTTTATGTCTACACAGCCATAGCACGTTACACTTTCACAAGCCTCCATAGTCATGTTATCACCATATGTATGGCTAAAGTGTGACCACAAACAGGTGAGATCACCACTGTCCACTCTTCCGCAGTCTCATTTTGTGCATCAAAAGCTTTATTCAGCCTCAAGCTTAAAAAAAATGATTTTATCCGAAGCTTTCACAAGAAAGTTAATTAAATTTGTTCATCGCCTTTCTCTCTTAGAACTTCGCCGCCGTACCTTAAAAAAAGTCACCAGATGTTTAATTAATATGGATACATGTATGACACAACAGTATTAATATTGTTAAACCAATCTATTTTCACTTTTTCTTGGCATGGTTTTTCTTTCCCTGAAACTTTTCTTTTTTTAAATTTCTGCCTCTACATTACATATTTAGGCCTTTACAAAATCTGAACCCTGACATGTCTATAAATAGCCTTCCAAGATAGTAAAAGAGGAAAGTATTTCACTTTTGTATTTAAAAAGTTTAGAGAGAAGTGGTAAGAAGTCAATGCCCAATGTAAGAAAAACAACTATGCCAGGATTCATCATCTTTCTACTTATACTTCTGTGGTAAAAGAAAATACTTGATACCTTTTAAAATAGTTACTCAATTTGGGTCCTAATAAGAATCAAGTGAATAAAAGTAACCTGAAATTCTAACACATCAGCAGTCACTAGGAGGCACTAATGAACGCTTAAAACTTTAGTTCAGAACAGGTCAATATGAACAACTATAAAAGGGACTATAAAAAGAACAGGATTGTCATTTAGTTTATCGTGTAGTTTTTCTCTTCTGAGGACATCAATCACTATTACTTTTAAACTCCCTCACCTACCCCAAAAAAACCCTTTTAAGAATAAGCCAAACTAAATTTGAGGCCACAATACAGCATCACCCACCCATTCACAGAGTGAACCTTGGGGTGAACAGGATTGCGGATCACATCAGCTAGAGCAAATGTGCAGACACCAAACCTGGGAACTGATCACAAAACAGTTTCTCAAACAAAGAAGGTTGGCTGGGCTGATCTAAAGATTCTGTATTTAGTGTATCAAGAGAATAACTCCTATGTAATTATAAATATAAATACTTAAAACTTTGCCTAGCATGTGTGACACCTTGGAGTCAAACCCCCACACTGCCAAAACAATTTATTTATGTATGTTAAATGGATCTGACCAGATATTTACTAACTGTACCATTAAGGTCCATACCAACACATGACATTTTAATAAATACATACGTTTACTGCAGAGACTTCCTCTTCCTCTGTTTCTTCCTGTGGAATATCATCACTGACCGGAGAGCCACCCTGAAATACATCTACTTCTTCACTTGAATCATTTTCTTTAGTAGCGACTTGCTTGGAGCGTCCTACACGGCTAGAGAAAAGCACATGTAAAATAAAATGAACATTTGGGTTTTGTAAACTCATTTGTAAACATTTTGATTTGTAAACTACCTTAGTAAAGGATAATTTAATGTATTATTATTTTTATCCTGTTATATCATGAGAGAAGTATTTTTCAATATTCTGAGCCTTAAACAAGTTTAGAATCTTTCATAAGATCTATCAAAGAACAAGTGTGACTCAGACCATATTCCTTTCATCTTTCCCAACTCAGAAAAAGGCAGCTTGTATATCCACTGAGCTGTTCAAAGTGGAAATTCTTTGAACAAAAAACCAGTATACCACAGTGTTTACCTGGCCCGATAGATTCCACTCACAGAAGTCTAAAATCCATTCACTTCTCTCCATTTCCTTTGCTACCACCTAACTGTAATCTGCAAACAATATAATAGCTGATGTCATTCCAAAAATATAGCTTTCCAACAAATTAAGAAAACCCTGGTAAAGCTTCCTACCCTAGTACACAAGATCCTGCAGACGCCTGGTCCTTGCCTACCTGTGCTCATCTCATTCTATTCCCCAACTCCTAACAATAACCCGAACAAACCCTTGCCTTCATTTAGTGCTCTGATTCACCAAGATTTTTCTGACTTCAGAAAAATGTTCTACCCACAACGTTCCTCTTTCTATTGTCTATTATTGTCACATAATCAACTCATCATCACTCTCTAATGAGGAAAGTTTCCTAACTCCCCAATTCTCCCATTATACTTCCTTAAAACCTCCCAAATTTTTCCTTCAAGACATGTACCAGAAGTCATAATTCTGTATTTATATGAATATTTAATGATTTCATGCCTATTAGATAGCAAGTTCCATAAGGAAAAGAATTATGTCTGTCGAGTGCCACTATATAGGAATTATATGAATAACAATGACAATTTTTCTCAATTCCACTGAAACCAAAATACACCAAAAAACCAGACAAGTCTAACATATATTATTATTCTAGATCTGAAAAAGTCTCCCAAATAAAGGAATGACAAGCTACTACAATAGAACATAGAATCTGCCTCAACACTGATTTTGTAAAAGAAATACTAGGTTTCAAATATTCATGGGAAACTTGTGTAATTCTAGGAGCAATCAGTACAATAAATTCTTAATTTTATGGTGTCTCGATATAAAGCAACTAAGAGGTTGAAAGATATTATTTTTAGTATCTTATTTTCTTGTGACAAAATTAAAACAAATATTTAGAATTATTTAGGAATTCATTGTTTAAAAATATTCATTTTCCTCAGTTGAATTCAAACACATTTATAAAGCTGCCACAAAATGTACTTACCTTTATTTTTAACCTGAGACAAAAATTACATGGAGGAAGGCATGAAGTACTGGTTAGACACTCAGGCAACTTTCCTCTTCCTGTGGAATACACAGGAACAGGAAAAACTCTTAAGATAACTGAGTATTTAACCAAGATATGTTGGCAACTCTGAAAAGTTACTGATGTCATTACTTACCAGATTACTCTCAGAAAAAGTGTGCTGAATGTCTAACAAACAGAAAATATATTATTTCTATTTCTGCTTACATAACTGAAAGAAAACTACAACCAAATTTATAACTAATATCTTGCCACATTAATAATTTCAGACACAGATTTGTTTTTGCGGGTCTCTTACAAATGTACTTTTGTGAACATCCAAAACTATCTATACGTAGGTATAGATAAATTAATTAGAAAACAAAACAAAGCTATCAAAAAATTGAGGTCAACAACATATGAGCACATCTGTGGTGTAATTTAAGAAAAACGATGTCTACTACTTTCCTACAAATTTAAAGAATAAAAGCAAAGTATAAAATCCAACTTCTCCCGGTACCGGAGAAAAACCAAAAAAAAAAAAAAATAAAATAAAATAAAATAAAATAAAATCCAACTTCTTCAAAAAGAAAAGATGATGGAGATAAACATGAAAAACTGCAGCCCACAGTGATGAGGAAACATATATAATGCATGGTGATTATTTTAAACACCTTATTGTCTTTTTATAAACCATAAAGTCTGTGTAAGAAATAATATTTGGTTTTCATTTATAAAGATTTTCCTAGACCTGTAAGAATGCATAAATATTACCAAAGATTGATGGGGCTATTCACCTATGTAAGATTATAAAAATCTTGCCTAGTGTAATGAGACTAAATACTTAGAATTTAAATACAGCAGTATGTATGCCTATATAATTTATGAACTTTGCAAAATAATTTGAAATTGGTTTGAAATTTAATATTATTTACAACTTACACATTTTTTTTTGGTTGTGATGGTGATGGCGTTTTTGATGGTCTTCCTCGTCCTTTCTGTGGTGTGGATTGTGTGGATTCAATTGCACTAGTTTCAGGAGATTCTGTTCTGCTTTGGAGAAGACCCAAATGTGGACAGCATCAAATTATGATTTATAATATGGTGAGTAAACAGATGCAGTTTAGACTTACTCGTGCTTACCTCTGTTGAGCTCTCCTTGATGCCCGATGCTGTTTGCTTTTTGATTTCTGTTCTGTGTTTCCACTTTGTCTTTCTTCTTCTTCCTCTTCCTCTGCTACAGGAGGTCCAGATTTTTTTTTGTTTCCTTTTTTAGACGTTTTCATTGTTGGTTCTTCTTTTGGTGCGCCTCCACCAAGAGGTTTTGGTGGCCGACCTCTTTTACCCTTTTTGGGTGGGCTGTTCTGTTCATCCTCATTTTCTAACATATCTTCTTTAAGCCTCTTCTCCTCAGGCCACTGCTGTTCATCTGATTCTGAAGCCGTGTGGCCTCTTTTCCGACCTCGCTGGCTGCCTTTAGGTTTCTGCTCCTGTACCAATTTAGTCAGGTCATCCATACCTAATTTCTCCTCTGAGTCTGTGACAGATGTTTTTTTCCGGCTTCTAGGTTTCTCCAATTCAGACTAAGGGGGGAAAATATCATGAATTTAGAATTTAATTTTAAAAAATAAAACTGCAGGGCCAGGGACTTGGCTCAGTGGTAGAATATTTGCCTAGCACAGTGATGGCAAATCTTTCGGAGTTTTCAATGATAAAAACAGACCACTGCAGCATGTGTGCCATAGGTTCACCACCACTGGAGCTCTAGCATGTGTAAGGCCCTGAGTTTGATCTCCAGTACAAATAAGTTTGTGCACATACTTTGAAGAACAAAACAAAGCTGCTACCTATTTTGGTCATAAACATATAGTTCTTGAATACTTTGGACCTGTTACTATTTAAGTTCTGTTTCTTTGTTTTGTTTGCAACAGAGTCCCACTATGTTGCCCATGCTGATAGCAAACTTGGGGGATTAAGTGATATCTTGAAGTAGAGGTACACCACCATGCCTACTTAGTAGTTTTTCAGTTAAATAAACATGTACTTCTTCGGGGTAAGAGTAAATTTACATTTTTATTTTAGGCTACAAAGCCTTTAATGAGCAATCTTTCAAGATCAGTATTTTATTAAGTCTTAGTGAAGGCCTATTTCATGAAAAAGAACATTCTAAACACAGTTTTTGGGCCAGGTGTGGTGGCACACACCTGTAATCCCAGCACTCAGGAGGCTTAGGCAGGAGGGGATCTCCCCAAATTCAAGGCCAGCATGGGCTACATAGTGAGCATCTGTTATTTTGATAATCAATTTAAGAAACTCTATAATTTTGCCACACAGATATTAAGATATAAATGTCATACTTACGTCATAAAAGAACTAATTTTATTTTCTAAATGGAGCCTGCAAGATTTGAAAGTTAAACATATTTATAATACATTAATTCTACATCAGAGATACTGATTATTTCCAGGTATAACTAAGTAAAAACACAATCGGTGGCTTTCAAATTTAAAATGACATCCTGGCCTATATTCAGAGAGTTTATACATGAACAGATGGAGATTGAGAAAATTCTTTTGGGTTCTAAAAATGAGAATGTATACATGAATACTTACAGTGCAAATTTAATTTCCAAGAGGTCTGCACCGTTTACACTCTTAAAAATCAGTGAAAACAAAACCATCAGATTATACTGCATTACCTCCTCCATTTCCTGTGTTTGACCGCCCACTCATGTCCTTAGCATTACGTTCTTTCTACTTGTTTACTGACGGCTACTGTTTTCATCTACATTCTTCTATCCTCTGGTAGCATCTGTTTTAGTTGTGTTTCAGAATCAATTGTGGTTCCCTCCCCACAAAAGTGTATGTGTAAGGTTTAACCCCTAAATGTGATAGTTGGTGACAGGGACTTAGGGAGGTAATGTCGTTCAGAGGAAGTCATGAGAGCAGGGCCCTCATAATGAGCTCAGGGCCCTTCTAAGAAACATCAGAGTGTTTCTCTCCCTGCCATACGAGGACATAGTAGAAAAGGTGGTATCGCAAGATAGAAAGGGTGCCCTTACTAGGAACTGAATCTAGTTCTGCCATCTTGATTTTGGACTTCCCAGTCTTCACAACTGTGAGAAAGTCATTTTCCACTGTTTAAACCCTCAATCTGTAGTATTTGATTAAAGACTAGTATCTTGTTTTAGAATAGATGATTTTATGAGAAAAGGTTTTAACTGTTTTCTCCACACACACCACCCCCTCAAGGACACATCGGCTCATTTTAGAATCACTGGTTTATAATGTTTCCTTTATTTGGTAGTGTTTAGAAAAATAATGTTTCTGGGCTATTATAAGAGCAGTACAATGTTTTACTAATTATAAATGAAATATGTTTGTTTCTAGTTGGGTTGATTCTATCTTTATTAAATTATCTTTTTCCTATCTGTTCATTTTTCCATGCAGTCTTGAAACAAAATCACACTGAAAATTTACAATTTTATATTCACTCGGGGGGAAAAAAGGTCACCTTTTGAACTCCTTTTGTTCAGGCAGGAACATGCTATGCTTTCTCTCTCCTCATATTTTCTACGTATCCCAGGCTTTAAGATTTTTCTTCTTGTATAGTTTCCCCCTACTTATTTTTTAAGTTATGTTTAGGTAGATAAATTGATTGATGCGACAATTTATGTTATCTTACTTTGTTATTACAGACCTTATGGAGATGAAGGTAACCCCTTTCTCCCAAGTACTTATCAATTTAAGGAAAATTATCAGAGAAAAGTTAGTTAAATGCATTTATATATGTATCTGGGCATACTTAATTCTCTTACTGCATTCTTAATTCTCTTATTTTTCTAGGTCTACAAAAATAATAATGAACATGACTACCATTTTCATTGTTATACCGGTCTTTCTCAGTTGGTCAAATATTCTAGAACAATTTTAAATGCTAGTGGTGACAGCAGGTCACTTGTTTTGTTCCAAATTTTCAGTAAGAATGCTTCAAGTATTTTGCCTTGAAAAAGAACAACACTGACTACTGATTTAAAATAGACAAAGCTTTTAGCATTGAAGGAAGTAACCTATCTTTAGTAAGAGTCGATGTTTATCAAGAACAGATTTTAAATCTTATTTATACTTTCTTGGTATCATCTGAGATCTTATTCTTGTTTTTCTTATTCAGTATATTCCATTAAAATATTTTCTAACAAACTATCCTTACATTCCAGTGCAGTGGGACACTTAAGTGACTGGATTTTATTTGTTAGCATTGATTTAGACTTTCTGGGCATAAACTAAAAATTAACTGTTGTTAACAGAGCTTAGAAAACAACCAAAATACTACAATAAAGCTGAATAAAAAATATTACCTCTATTCTTAATGCTACAATTTTTTTTTATAACCAAAAACCTAAAAAAGATAGATGGATTCCTTTATGCTTCAGAAAACATTGATTGAAACAGGAGATCCAATGGCTACTTTCTTGAAACTACCACAAAATAATCTATGTCCTTAAAACACAATTTCTGATTTTTAAAAAATCTTTGTCTTGTGTTAAAAACATAGGGAATATAAAATTGATGTTAGGAGCCAGGAATTGGGAAACATTAAATGGAATAAACCTAGGTATTTACACATAAATATACAGAGAGAAGATTAATTCCTTTATTGCAAAATTGAAATGTGAAGCTAGCAGTATATAAACAGTACTATTTTGCTATAATCTACTGGTCTGTAAACAGAACTTATTTCAGTCAAAACTAGTTTATTAATAAGGTTCTAGCAGCTCTAAAAATGGACCCTATGTTACATGGGATCCATGCCACAAAACGTAACAAAAGGCCTCCCTTATAACAATACAAATTAATCTTGAGAATTCAAATATTCAAAACTGTTCTATGAATAATAAAGTAGAATTTGTTTACAACGTTGCCAAAGGTAGTAGACATGAAATTTATAGAGTAACACAATATTAAGAATAACACCATGTTTGCCAACTTTGGGGAGAGGGCAAATAGCATGTGGGTAAAGTACAATATAGGAGAGGATGTGAAAGGCCTAGGTGACATTTCTACCAAATAAGAAATCATAGCTCCCCGTGCATTTTCTAGCAGAGAAACCAGCTGTCAGATAATGAAGGATTTTCTGCATTGAGAACTACTAGGACTAGAAGACAAAAATACCTTTTCCAATTCAAAGACTGTCTCATAAATCCAGGTAACAGGATTTCTTTCTAGCTAAGTTATCAATTCCTAATTCTGCTTAGGTGAAAAATTTCAATAACCAATGAGTATCAGAATTTATTGCATAAGTAGTAATTAAAGTTGTACTTTTTTCTAAGGTGAAAGGACAAGTAACTTGGCAAGACAAATTACTACACAAACCTGAAAATAACTAAAACTTTTACTAAGCAGTGTTTGGCCAGGGTGAGACAAGAAGTATAGTAGTACTCTAAAGAAAGCAAAAATAATTATTGTACTGAAAATCAGCCACACCTCTATTTATCAAGTAGATTCAAACATCTTATTATCATCACCACCACCATTATTATTATTACAACAAATCATCAAAAGTGTTAGTCACTGTAACCCTAACACTCGGGAGAGTGAGGCAGGAGGACTGCCATGAGTTCAAGGTCAGCCTGGGCTACACATAGTGAGTTCAAGGCCAGCCTGAACTAGATAGCAAGATCCTGTCTCAAAGAAAAGAGAAGAATAGTCATTATAACAACAATAAAACAGGAAGAGTAATGTATTTAAGCTAATTCAATTATTCTGATAAATCAATTCAGCTAAATATTGTTTATAAATAAAAGGAAACTGAAGCAATCTAATCAGTTATTCAGAAAATATTTAGAGCTGAACTGAAATTCCAAAATGAGTCCAATTCAGCAGTTCTGGTTACAGAATTGGCATGTTTGATTTCAAACACCTCAAGAATTAAGATGATTTACCAAAATGACAAGAAACACATAAATGCCATATACTTAAATTACATGGTTGAAGATCATTATACACTCAAATCTGTAACTAAAGCCACTAGAAGAAAACCAAATGCCAGAGAGTTTTGGTGTGAAAGTTACTATTTGTATGAGTAAAATCACTACTAAAATTATCACTATAAAATTAAACCAGATGTCTCACCCTTACAAGATCAGAGTCGTCTCTCTTGTCACTTTTCTTTCCTGGCAAAGGTGAAGACATCGTATAATCTTCATTTTCACTGTGATCCATCTCAGAACTATCAAGCCTTTTAATACAGACATGTGTAACTGTTATTACAGTCAACCTTAAAACCTATTTCTGTTCCCTAGTTTAGCTTTATAGCCTTACGAAGGAAAGTTTTTATAGTTTGAAGATGAATATTTTACCTTAGGTAAGCACCAAATCAATAAGAAGCAATGCTCATTTAATATGGTTTTCAAAAACACACAAATTTCATGTATTTCCTAAGTATTTTACAACTGAAATTCTATTTTGGGATGGAAATATAAAACACATTAAAACTCTTTCTCTTAGTTACACTGGCAATTTACTGTCCCCCTCTCCCTTACCCCCAGTCTTCTTTTTCTTCTCTCTGTAGATGTAATGCACTTTATTACTTACTAGTTACTTCCTCCTGTTAAAATGCAAACATGGGCCTTCTATCAATTTTACTTACCAATGCAGACTAAAATTTGAATCTGTACCTGCTATAGACTCAATAACCACTTATTAAGTGAATTAATAGCATTTGCTGTCATGTATTTGAAACGGTCCAGCCTTTTATCTTTATCTGCTTCCTAAAACTGTATCCACTGCTAAACCCTAAATCTCAACCTCTGGTCCTGCTACCCTGAATTCTAACACCATATACACAATTTTTCTGTTCAATACTTTAGTTGCATTTCTAAAAGTCATATGAACTTTTAACACAGCCAAAATTTCAACACTCTTTTTTTTCTCCACCTCTGCACCCCAAAAAATACATAGCCAGCTGCCCATCAAGGATTCTACATCTCAATAAATGGCACTACCATCTATCCAGATACCAACAAAAATTCCAGGATACATTCTTAAATCCTTCCTTTTCCTAACTGTTCACATTTTATACATCAGCCAAGCTATTTGAATCTCACACCAAAATAAATCACAATTTTGACTTCCATCATCCTCCCTCTTCACCTCTTCCCTAGATTACTATTAGCTGTTCCTAATCTCAACTACAGCTTCTCAACACTGCATTCTCCACAAATAATCAAGGCGATCTTTTAAAAAGCACAATTAGATATCTATACTCCTTAACAGTATCTTCCAGTTACACTTAAAATCAAATCCCAATTCTTTACCTTGTTCACACAGTCCAAACACAATCTGGCCACCTCTCAACTTTACCTCTTACGATTTTTCCCTCATTCCTACTTTCTGACCGAGCTCGCCTCTCAAACACATCTAGCTCATTTCCTTGGAAAGAGATGAACAGATGGGATTTGGAGGGGGAAAAATGTGACATATTGGTCAGAGGCTGAGAATTTAAAGAAAACACTTAAAAAGTATAGTAGTGAAATCAGAATACAGCTTTGCTAAATAACAAGGGAAAGACAAGACTGTACTATAATTACCTTAAAAGCAAACAAAAGGGGATTATTTAAAATTTCTGAGCAATGGAATAATATGACAACTGTATTTTTTAAAAGACCATCTTATGGTGATAAGATGTGCATAGCAACGCACATACTACAATACTTAAAGGAATAAATTAAATGATAATAGTAAAAAAGAAATATAAAATATTATATGGAAAAAACTGGCTAAAGTTGGCAAAAGAATACATATAGATAGAGAAAGAGTCAGAGACAACTCTAAGGCTCTAAGGCCTAGAGGACTGAATGAATTGGGACGTTTTTGCTCATAATCAAGAATTCAAGAAAAAAAAAAATCAATCATTTAGAAAATAAGTTGCTATAAATGTTTTGGTCATTAGGTATGAGGCCATCTACTAGGAAATATTTAACTTATACAGTTGAAGGGTCACTTAGGTAATGACCACTAATATTAGCATTAATAAGAATCCAGAACAGAAAAAAAGTTTTTGATGCCATTTTTATTCCACTATATGCTATTTAAAAATTTATTGATTAAAAGAAAACTGATAAAGACATGTCTTCTCCTTTCTTTACTGACTGGTTATGAAAGATGCAAAATACAGTTCAGTCTTTCTAATCACATGGCAAAATTCAATAAATAATGGCAGTGTAGCCCTTTACAATGGCCTGCTACTAATAAATGATGTCCTAAACATTTATGCTAAAACTAGTGAAAGGCAAATTGTCTTTTTCCTTTTTTAAAACCACCAAAAATGTTCATAAATATACATGATAAAAAGAAATTCAAACTATACAAAATTCTATAAAATCATCTCTTACACCAGTTATCGTGAACACTGTTAAGATTTTGTATAGTCTTCCAACAACTTCCTATGCTTATATACACAAAAGTAAATGTAAATCCTTTTTCAAAACAGAGAGACCGTAACACTGTTCTACATACTTTGCCTTTTCACTCATTAATGCATTATGGAAATTCTTGCATGTTCGCTTCGATCTCACCATTTTAATGACTATGATGCACTATACTTTAACAGTGCTAGACACTGAGGTTGAAAACTGGCCATATATGCTGACACAAGACTGCTCCAACAAGTTCAAGTGTGAAAGGCTAAAACTATTTACACAGAAAATGAGCAAGCAAATAAATATGAATCTCTACATAATTACACCAAGGTTTCCATTCCCTGACATTAAATGTTTTCAGTTGTATTCTTTTTAAATTTCATACCCTTGTTGGAACTGTTAAATGTAAAGTATAGTATTTCTTGTGTACTTGCCTCCCTTTTATTCTTCCAGGAGAGCTTGGATTTGAGCTGCTGCTTGCATTGCTAACAGTTTCCATTCGTGATGATTTGGTCTGAGACTGTTTGCCTGCTGATGAAAGCGGCTTATTAACAGCTCCCAGAACATTGGTTGTTTTAGGCTGAAATGAAAAATGCATGCATCTTTCTAGTTGGTTAAAACCAAAAGAAATCTGCATCTCAAGAACCATAAATACTATATTTGCATACAAACCATGAAAAATGTACCCATCCTTAATCCAAATAAGAATTATAAATTGAAGATCACTCAAACAAATTAAAAACTATATAAAAAACATAGTTGAGTTTCTTATTTAGAAGAAAAGGCTTATATACATGTGAGAACAAATGAAATGTGCAGTCAATAATGAAAATAGGTAACTAAAACTCTTGTGAAAGGACACAGATGCAGCCTTTTTAAGATTTTTATCTTGATATTACAATAAGAAGTCTACGGACCAAAGTTTCCTGCGTTTTATAAGAAGCTAAAATATTGGTTCACGTATCTTGGGTTGTATCTGTATAGTAAACCCAATCATTCCTCAGTAATGACATAAGACAACTAATTCCTCAGTAATGACATAAGTCAACTAATTACATTTCCTTTGTTCTTGAGTTAAACAAAGTTTTAAAAAACAAAAAGTAACTATTAGGCCAATAATCACAAGAAATAAATAACATAAAAATTAAAAGAATTCTCAAAACATACTTTTCCAGGAGTGAAAAATGATTTCATTTCTGGAGGCAGATAATTTTTGGTGTTACTGAAATTCTGCGAGCAAGAGAAAAAGAAGTAGTCAGTAAATATTAGAACACTGCATTAAGAGGTAGTCAGAATCCAACAAACAGCTATTTAAAATACATATTTATTTAAATTCATCAGTTAATCACTTACCAGTGCAATTCCTTAAAAACAGGATGATGAAAAATTACATTCTTTTCATTAATTTTAAAAGTTAATATGACAAGAACCATAAAAATGACAATTTTGTCAAATTTATTCTATACAAGAACTGACTAGCCGCAATGACACCTGCCGAAGCAACGCTCAGGACAGTCAGTATATAAACAAATGTGCTGCTCGAGTGATGTTAGGCATAAACTATTAAGTGGTTAAAACACAAAATTTTAGTTATTCATTTTTATTATAATAAACTACGACTAACCTCATCTCAAACTCAATTAATAACAAAACATATTTGAACTCTAACATGCTAGAGCTGTAAGATCACTTCAAAAAACATGCTCCTGTAGTAACTCTCTCCGGAGACAAGGACACATATATTTCTGTTACCCTGCCTGTTCACTCCAAATGACAGCTTAAAAATAGACAGCCCCTCCTGAGAAGTCACTTTGAAAATATCAATATGTAATACAACAATCACTGTTAATTTCCTACCACTTTGTCTGTAATTCAGTATTGCTTGTATTGTTCTTATGCTATATTGTAAATGGATGTCTGTTATTATGTTTTCTTTCTTTTACTTTTAAAGTAAATTTTAAAAAAATAGACAGCCCCTTTAGCTAGTGGGTGAAGGTGTAGGGCTACTGTATACACTGCTAAGATGATAGTGGTGGCTTCTAGACTCTCAGATACTTAATATGTTTAGATAAAGTATGAATTTCTAAGACTGTAGAAAACACCTTTTAGTTTGAGAACACTTCTACAGTTCTCAGAATCTTAGGCTTGTTCCAGTGTCTATTTTCTGCATCTTTTCCTCACAGCAGTTAAAAGCCCAATCATGGGCTTGAGACCTGAGATTCTTTTTTTTTTTTTTTTCCTTGAAACTTTAGATTCTATAGGTGTTCTTTTGTCTATTTTTGCTCCATAGTCATTAACCCACAAATCCTTACAATTTGACCAATCTTTTGCCTGTTTTTAGTATAGCTTCAAACTCTAAATCATCCTAACGTCTACACCTCTATTTCCTACAATTTGACTAGTTTTAAAAAATTATGACAATCTTTTATGTTCTTTAGTGCCAGCTCTATACGCTGCTTCCTGATCTTACTTAAAAGCTATTGCTGAAAATACATTTTATTTCAACTTACACAAAGAAATAATAAAGTAACTACCTTGTCAGGTTGGGTGAAAAAACGAGCTGGTAGTACTGGATCTTTAGGAGATTCCAAACTGTATGTGGTGCTCTTTGACATGATGATATTCATGGCAACATCACACACGGTATACAATTTCTGAAATGAATTTTTAAAACTTAGGTATTTAAATTGGCAGCTTAAATGCTGTAAATTAGAAGTAATTCTAGAACATTCATCTGGTCAAAAGAATAACTGAAAGCAAGTGTCAACTATTTTAGCTTAAACTACTTGAGTTTACTACCAATAGAATTACTAATTCTGCATTAGTGTCACTGGTAATAGAAATACTAAAAATTATTTTATAGTCTATGAATATTACAGTTTCATACCCCACACCAGATGTTTAAACCAAAATGGAATCACAATATTTACAAAAAAAGTACATACTTCATTCATTTTTGCATCATCTGGTCCTTGGGCATCTTTTGTTTGTTTAATATTTTCTACCATCTTTCTGATAAATGCATGACTGTTATTTTCATTTTTAGCCATTAATATTTCCAAAACAAACCAAAGACATCTAAAAAAGGAAAGAAAAAAGAGGAAACAAGTCCTTTGTTAGATATAATAATTCTAAACATAATGAACCTAGATTATAACTCTAAGAGAGGAAAAAATTAACAAGAAACAGCAGAGAAAAAGGGTTAAATCACATGCACATATCACAACAGGTAAACAATGTAGATGCGAGCTGGTAAGACCCCTGGAACAGTCTTAGTAGAATCCCCAGAAAAGAACATTGATTTTAAAAGAAACATACAAGGTAGGAGAAATGAAGTAATCTTAACTTCACGGTATGAGAGTGATCTGGAGAGACTTCCAACAGGAATATTTAGGCCCTGGATCAAGGGAAGCCTTGGCTATTCAGAGAGACTCGGTGCAGATGGGAAGTCTTCAAACGACAGCTACCTTATTACATAGTAAATTTTTTCATTAATAAATTAGAAAGAAAAAGTCATGGTTGATGATCACATATACTGTTTTTGCTGAGGGGGATTAAAAGTATGTTTCAGTCCCGGTACCGGAGAAAAACCCAAAAAAAAAAAAAAAAAAAAAAAAAGTATGTTTCAGTAGTCCAGTTTTAATTACCTAAAATTCTATTCAAAAAAAACCAAGTAAGGGCTGGGGATTTAGCTCAGTGGCACAGCGCCTGCCTGGCAAGCGGAAGGTCATGAGTTCGATTCCTGGTACTGGAAGAAAAACCAAAAACAAACAAACAAACAAAAAAAAAAAAACCAAGTATTTCCTCTATATATGATATACTTGAAAGGGACACAAGTACAGTTGATACACAAAGAAGAAAAATAATGGGAGAAGGAAGTAAGAGAAAAGTGAAGCAAGATATCATTGTAGAAGCACAATAAAAAATCTTTAACATCTCAGGTATACGAAAGTTCTTCTAGGGGCTGGGGATTTAGCTCAGCGGCAAAAGCGCCTGCCTGGCAAGCGCAAGGTCGTGAGTTTGGTTCCCGGTACCGGAGAAAAACCAAAAAAAAAAGAAAGTTCTTCTAGAGTGCCTCTACAATACAGTGTCATGGTACACAGATTAGAAAGACAGCCAAAACTATCCAGTAAATCCTGAAGAATATTCTACCTATTTAAAAACCAATTTTCTCTTATTAAAAAAAAAAAGATGACAAAGTGGCTAAAGTTTCCACTAGTCATAATCACTTCAAAAGCATTTTTGAGGAATTATCTGCTTGTATTTTAGAAACTGAAATTGTGGCAAAGAAAGACCATAACAGCCTTTTTCCTGACTGTGAGAAGTTATTGGTAACTTGATTTTACTCTCTTTAAATACTTCAAATATTTAACTATAAAATATTTCTATGAATTGAAACCAAGAATTATTTTCCCTCATTAGGCTATTAAGGAATCAACTGATTCAAGACCACAAAGGTTATCTTTTACTATAACAGAATGTGGACTGGAAGCTTAACCTTATTTGAAAAATTAAGCTAGTCTTAAAACTTCTATAAATATCACTATATCTACATGCAGATATATGTAACATTTGTAGTTTCTCAACAACAATCTCTGAAAGAATCACAAACGTAATAAATTTTAATTAGACAATCATCAATGAACTGACTCAGAGACCTTGTTTATGAATTGGGCCCATTATGCAATGAGGCTATTCTCTCTTCCTAGGGAGGAAGACTGTTACTGCAGAAAAAATGTAATTCACCTAATATGAAAAGCTATACAGTTTCTAAAGGAAGCAGAAAAGAACTGGAGTGAATACATTCAGTGGATAACTTAATAGAAAAAAAACTGCCAGATTGGTACAGAAATAGACCTACAAGTACAGTAATTATGCTAAGTTTTAGGAAATTACACTAAAAATTTAATGAAAAGAGATGAAATGAAAAAAATGAGGCCAGGGATACAGCTCAGTGGCACAGCACCTGCCTGGCAAGCGCAAGGTCCTAAGTTCGATTCCTGGTACAAAAAAAAAAAAAAAAAAAAAAAAAAAAAAATGACCAGCCAAAACTACATTACAGATTGTCTTGATATATGATGGATATCATTGTACCTTTCCGTGGGCATTGTAGAGCAGGAGGTAGGAATTTGTTCAAACTTTATTTTCCAACAGAAAGAATCTTTGGTCTTCCCACTGACTGAAACTGGTAACTTGCTCTGTCTCAAGAAATGCTACTAGAAAAAGCCTCTGAAGAGATGTCTCTGATACCTTGATTTTTCATGTTCTGCAGTCTTTACTGTGGACTGTGGTGGGTGCCAATTTGTTTTGTACTCAGCTTCAGCTGAAAATCCTCCCAAGACTAAATGGATAACTATCACTAATAATTCTAAAAATGAGGTACAGATCCTACCATAGAAAACTGATAGAAAATAAGTCATTTACATTTAGCTTATTGTAGGGCTCATTTATTTAATAATGAAAGCAGTCAGCAGGAAATATTCTAAGTGCCACTTTTCCCTCTTGCAGAAATACAGCCTAAACAGCTCAGAAAAGCGCAGGTTTCTATTATAGATAGTTTAAGGCAATAATGTAACATAGTTAAAACACTTTGTTACAACGGATAAACTTGTTTTCATTATAAATATTGTAAACTAAAATTAGGTTAGTAATTGTGACCTGCACCAAAAACAACAACAACAAAAAGTACTGCATGGAAATAATAAGCTGAAGCTTGTTTATTATTAGCCAAACAAAGTGATTAAAAAGCAAAATAAATATATCAACTGAGCCAGTTTGATTACATAACTATTTTGAAGCAATTAAAGTAAAATAAACTAAAGTATCTGGCTGTAGAACTGTGAAAAAATGAATTCATCTCTCTTAAATTTCAGTTTCTCATTTGTAAAAAGAAGTTGGTCAACATGACCCCTAATATCCTTTTAAGTTTCAGTGTTCTATTTAATGCATTCTTAGATTTCAATTTTAATTATTCATTCATTTGTCTTTAGTTTCTGGGTTGCACTTTTTAAAAGCTAAATTACTGTTTGATTCTGTATATTGAGTTGTAAAGAATCTAGCACTAGGCAAACCGCCCTAAAGAGTGTTTACTATTATGTCATTTTTTTTCTAGACATAAAGAATCATTTCTTCACCCACAAAATGCTCTTCAAGAGAAAAAGGTTAACCGTGCTGAGGCTGGAAAATTATGCCAAAGTGTAAGTAGAGAAAGAACAGAAAAAAAAAATGCTGAGATCTGGGAAAGTGAAGAGTATGGAAAATGACAAAGGGGAAAAATTAAGAAGATACTAGATTATGAATGGTACTGGGATACTGACATCCATAGAAAATTGAAGTGCACTGAGAAAACATGTCTATTTAATGGCCACAATTTTTTCTTCCATAAATCCTTGTTTTGGGCTTTTAAGTAGACATAAGCTTTTCCTTTATTCTTCCTTCTTTGCCTAATTAGAGAGCTGTATTACAGTACTTTCTAAGCATTTGTCCTAACTCATCTCCTGTGTACCTTATATGGCAAACATAATATTGCTTATACGTATCAGTCCTTCAAACCTTAGAACATGGTAGTCTTTCCTTCCAAATCACTTTAGCCCTGAATCTTCTCCAGAATAGGTCAAATATTCATTCTTATATTTTTTTTATTTTAAAAATAAAATGAGGAAAACATTAACAGACAATCATTTACAAAACACCAAAAGAACAATACAAACAATACAGAGTTACAAACAAAGTGGTAGAAAATTAACAATGCTTGTTCTATTACATACTGATATCTTCAAAGTGGTTTCTCATGAAAACAGATAGACACATGCAATATTGATCAATCAAGGAATCATTAACTGTTTCTTTCAGCAAACAAATAGAAGACAGTAGAACAACTATGTTAACTATCCTGCATATACATAAATACAGAATTTCTCCTTCTTTTCCTTCTCTTTTTCCACATCCCAGGTGCCCCTTACTCTTGAGCATTTTCCTTTCATTTCACATTGTTTATCATACCTCCGAGTTTTTATTAAGCCTTTGAGGTTTTACACTAGTGAGACAATGTGGTGCTTGCACATGAAGCTCTGATTTATTTCACTTATGAGTATAGTCTCTAATTGTGACCATTTATCTATAAAGACCTTGAGATTATCTTTTTTTACAGCTGAGTAATATTCCAT